CCAACGACTGGTCGAGGACCGACCCGGCGCTCACCGACGGCGCGCGGCGACCAACGACTCGGCAGCGACCAACGACTGGTCGGCGACTGACGCTCCTCGACGGCGGGCGGCGACCAACGACTCAGCAGCGATCGAATCGTTGATGCAATGGACGTCAAACGATTGGTCGGCGGGCGGCGGTAAATCAATGACAGTGTGTGTGTTCGCGAGGCAAGTCGGTGGTCTGACGACGGCTACCGACCAACGTCGATGCAAGACCAACGACGATTAAAGAGAACGAGCCGGATGTAATATTACATAAACTGACTTCTTTTGCGTTTCCCGCCTTTGGCGCCCCTCTTTTTTATTTGTTTGTCGTAGCTTTCGACGACCATGTCGTTGTCCATGGAGAGGTCTCGAGGTGGGAGAGGTACAAGCGGGTTGTTGTACATCGCGGCACAGACCTCGCGGCTGTAGGCTGTATGGTACCAAGTGAGTGGTTCGACGCTGATGTGCATCGCAACGGCGATGGCATGCATGCAGGGTTTTAGGTGATCTTGCCAACCACCGCAGTAGCAAGTCTACGGCGTACTGGCGGTAAAGTAAGTGACAACACTACTAAAATACCTTTGCTTCAATGTCGACGAAACGTGCCTTGTCGGGCTGCTTGTGCTTCGAGTGTTTGACGTTGAAGCTATGGCCTGTGCGAAGGTCCGTAACCTGAAGGATTGCGATTAGAGGGTTGATGCACAAGTTTGGAGCACCAACCGTGCATTTCCGGGCTTCAATCGAGAGAGCCTCGAAGGCCTTGGCCTCTTTGTTCGTGAGAATGCCTGAGCCCTTTGAGTGCATTTCGAGGCGCTCGTTGAAAGTCTTGTTGAGACGGTCGAAGTAGAAGAAGAACACTGCTACCGGATCACTTCCCCGAAGGTCGGCGCCAAGCCAATTGTTGGAAGACTCGGCCACGGCTACGGATCCAACGTAACTTGATGCACAAGTACGGCCTTTATACCTGGCTTCCGTGCACGCAGCCCGGTCATTGCCTGCAAGAACTCGTCCTTTGATGTGCTGCGCGATATTTTGAAAAGGGTGCCTTCGTCGGGCTTCGAGACGACGCCCTGAGAGCGTTTGATATTTTGGATAATGTGCCTCAGACAGTAGCGGTGTCGCGCAAAGGGAAAGTATTTCGGCACAGCCAGGAGAAGACCTAAGCATATAATTAGAGCGGAAACAAGTACATGTTTACTGACCAAGATGGCGGTCGGAGACGAACGACCAGCCGATGAAATCGGATATACCCGCTAATGCCAATTGTCCGCAAAACCAGTCCCAGGTATCGACGAGTTCTCCTTGAACGAGGGCGAAAGCAATCGGTACAATGTTGCCGTTGCCGTCCTTCGATGTTGCCGAAAGCAAAGTACCCACTTGATGCATGTCTTCCTTCATGTGGCATGCCACGATTTCTTGAAACAAACTGTGAGTCATATACGTGATACCGTCGAGAAATACAATCGGTAGAAGGAACTTCTTCGCGTCCTTGCGGAAACATGCTGGTACGCAGAACGCTCCGTGGTAAGACGACCCCGTCTTCGTGAATGCCGCGTACATCCCTGGGTTAGCTTCGGCCAGCTTCTTGAGGTAGGACTCGAGTTTGGCAAACTGGTCTTTGATCGTGGCTAGCTTGCGCTTCTTGGTGGTCTTCTTGACGATGGTCACCCGCGACGACGAGATCGAGATACCAAATTTGTCGCGAACAGCCCGAATGAGCTCGTCCCGAACCGACGTGTGGCCAATCTCTTGCTCGACAGCGAACTTTATAAGCTAACTCGTGCGTGTAGTTTGTACTGGCGTGAAATATACACTTACCATGTCGGTAGAGACCGTGGTGTTTCGAGATCCTTGGGGCAATTGTGTAGAATGCGGTAGACTGTGGTTGTGGTCCATGCAAACCTACAGTGTGCTCATAAGTACCGTAGGTAAACGAGTCCAAAACCTCCGTGTCGGCGAGCGCGAGAACGGCAAGGACGCCGTTTACGAACTCTTATGCTGCCCGTGCCTAAGCAAGACGCGTCAGCTTAGCGAATGCGCTGGGGTACGCGATCTCGACCATCTTCACGATTCTCTCGGTGCTGCTCTCGGGCTGGGAGATCTGGACGCACTTGACGTACAACCCGGTCGTGTGCGTGCGCAAGTACATCCTCCACATTTTGCTCATGGTCCCGATTTTCGAGAAGATCCGCGACTGCTACGAGGTCTTTGCACTGCACTCGTTCTACTGCTTTCTCGTCGTATACCTTGGCGGCCAATCTGTCCTCGCCAACACGCTACGGATCAAGAAGCAAGTGCGACACCATACCACTCTGAGCTTCTCGACGTCAACCTTTGATGGAGTAAAAAATGATATAGCCACCCCTATGTCGGGTCAATTTCGCCGATGCGCCAATTCCTTGTCAATGCCGATATGCTACATGTGCAGACTCCCAACAAGAGGTCATTCGGTCCAGTACCAACAACGGCTCGCGATCGTCCGTGATATCGGGGTCGGAGAGATTGGTAAGGTCGCCCCTTTTGGTGAAGTTTGAGTCACGAATGATATTGCATTAAGTTAATACGAAAATTCTTGCGACGATGTACGTTTTCATTTGCCCAATCGTCTGCCACCGCCCTCAGCAATTTACCACTGCCCGCCTTCAAAAAATGGTCGTAATCGCATAGAGGCAAATCGCGGCCAAGTTGTAGACCGCTATCTCGTTGATCGCCGTTGACTGGCTGATTGCCGACCAACGTCGACGCCGCCATCCAGTCGTTGGTCACATGGCTCGTCGCCGACCGCTTCGTTGGTCGCCGATTGACGTCACTACCGTTGAGTCATCTGCCGCCGGTTGTAGTCGCCACCAAGTCGTCATTGAAGCTGCCGGTCATCGTCAAGTCGTTGGTCGCCGCCCGTCGTCGAGGAGCGTCGGTCCTCGACCAGTCGTTGGTCGCTGCCGAGTCGTTGGTCGCCGCCCGCTGCCGAATCGTTGGTGAGCGCCGGGTCGGTCCTCGACCAGTCGTTGGTCGCCGCCCGCTGCCGAGTCGTTGGTGAGCGCCGATCGCCGTTAAGTCGTTGGTGAGCGCCGGGTCGGTCCTCGACCAGTCGTTGGTCGCCGCCCGCCGTCGAGCTGTTGGTGGGGGCCGATCGCCGTCAAGTCGTTGGTGAGCGCCGGGGCGGTCGCCGACCGCCGTCGTGTTGCTAGTCGCCGACTGCCGTCGAGCGGTTGGTTGCTGGCTGCGGCCGAGTCGTTGGTCACCGTGCATCTTGTACTTGGTTGGCTGGCTGTCGCTCGGTGTGGAGGTGGGCACCGGTGCTGGTCATGGGGCAGGCGTGTGTGCACGACGGAGCAAATTGAAAAGTGAGGGAAGTTCTTCGTGTGCTAGAGGCAACCCACATGTTTTCATGGACAAGGACTCTGGAGCCAATGCATTTTATCCGGAATGGAAGGAACGTTCTCTCCGGTTATCCATCCGGACTACCTTGGACGGTCATTGAATTGCCCTCCCCAGTACGTTCTGTTTTGACAAAGGCTGGTCAAACACATGGACCTACGTTTTAGTGGCGGAATCCGCGAAAAGCACCGTTCTAATTGATTACCTCGTTGTGCAGCACGTACGGCATAGATACCGGTACATCTCTGTCATTGGAATGACCGACGATAGAGGTGTGATCGCGGCGGTCGTCGTCACGTCGAGAACCGTCGATGCTGGTCTGCGCTCACCGAGCA